TGAAAGCAAGAAAACAAACAGTGCAACAGAAGTAGGCAAGAAGGGCTCGTGGTCTAAATCTAGGAGACTAGTGTCTGGTGTTCGGTTGACTTTCATACTGATTCTCCCATACAGTGTTGCCACTTTTCTTTGACAAAAAATATCCAAAACGGTGTCAAAAATATTTGAAAAGATCTAAATCTGCGTGGAAAAGTTTCTGAAAAATATTTACGATCTAAACGTCAAAAACAGTATCTAAATGCAATGAAAAAGATCTAAATTTGGATATAAAAGATCCAAAGTGGCAACACTGCTCACATACCTAGGCGAATGAAATCATCATTGATATCAGCGGTTCTCAAACTGTGGGTCGCGACCCTTTTACAGGGGTAACCAAAGACCATCGGAAAACACATATTAACTGGGCTATCCTCCGACTAACGGTCGGTAAAGATGGCGGCCGCGAAATATCCTTTCGAGCCACAGTCACGTGTCAATTGCGCACTAGCGGTCACGAGCACACCGCGGCTGCTGCTCGTGGGTCCTAGCCATCTAGTTTAGCCCCATTCCACGCCGCGTGAGCAGCGTTGGGACACGTGGCGGTGGTCGCCGGTGCAATTGAGACGTGACTGTGGCTCGAAAGGATATTTTGCGGCCGCCATCTTTACCGACCCTTAGTCGGAGGATAGCCATTAACTGAAATCATGAAGTAGTAACGAAAATGATTGTGAGATTCGGGTCGCCACAAAATGAGGAACTAGAGTCCCAGCCTTAGGAAGGTTGAGAGCCACTGATCTACATCATCATTTTAATCATCTTGTCAAACAGAACGTCGCTCTCACCGTCTGCCTGAAAGAAACTCGGTCTCTAGCAAACACTCCCACCTCGTGATCACTTATACCCAAAGAATCACTTAAATCGGGTACCCATCTCTGTGCTGGTCGGCCTCTGCCCCTCCTTTCTGATTCCGTGCCACCTGCTTTTATTTTTTCCAATCCACCTTGGCGCTTGATATGGCCAAATCCCTGTGTGGGTTTTGGGGTCCCATTGTGGAGAAAACAAAAATAGATTCGCTGCCTACCAAACAAGCATGCCGTAAGAGTCGACGAATTGTGGGTTTTCTTATAAATCTGCTTGAGAGGCAAGGAACCAACAATCTTGATACAAATAAGTCAGATCTGTAAAATGGATGTGCACGCAACACTTAGGTTCTGGAAGTATAAAGTCCAGAGATGGATGAACAACCAGAACATTCCACAGGAGTTTACAGCCCGTGAACACGAAGAAGAAAAGAAGAAGAAGATATGGTCAACATAATTCAGCCTCTGAGACAAAATGCTGTTTATTAACCAGTCTGTCTGGATGTTTAAGGATGTAATTATTTCTTTTCTTCTGTGTGCATGATTCACATTATACAGATAGATAATGAGGGCACAGTCTGGAATTGAGTAAATGTTTATGTTGCTGTTGATTCTCTTGTCACAAAGGACCATTAGAACTGGCTCCAAGAGTTGAAAGAAATCCGCGGTATTGGCTTCTCATTTATGGGGGTTCAAATGTGCACAACAGAGCACGGAACAGTCCTGGGGTAATAGACAAGGAGAGGCTTTAGCAGAGGCTATAGTAGATACGAGGTCTTAATTTCTAAAGCTATCAAGATCAGGGCTATGAAAAGGCGCAAGACTTTTATGTATGAGAGGACCAGTACCCCGACAGAAGGTAGGCAGCAGAATCACCACCTCTGCTTTTGTGCAGCCTCCATAGTGGACCCAAGAAATAGATCAGGCATGCAGAGCAAAGCGAGCAGCAGTTAAACAATTAAAATGGTGCTTAAGATACTTCACAGATTACAAGAGGATATAGGTTTAGATTCAGTCAACGTATCAACATCATGGCACAAGGGGTAACCCATAAGTGCTCCGTTCTACTTCTGACTCAAGCCTGAGTCTGAAAATTGTCAACGTAGTTTTTTTTTTTTTTCATCGAACACCGGCTGTGAATTCCAGTGGAAGGTCCCGGTTAATCGTCCGCTTGGACTTTTGGCTTTCACCTGGACCTGATTTTTGCGTGTACAACCGTTTTTCATTTCCCTGCCTCATGGGCAGCTGTACTCCGACTTCGAAGGAAGACGTCATGCCTATTTCTAGGGTGACTGTAGCCATTGTTTTGTGTGGGTCGAGACTTTGCCTGGTTTGTGTGGTGTCCGCCTTGTCTCCTTCGCCGCAGGTATTGCCCCCGGAGTACCCCTTTGGGGCAGCCCCCTGTGAAACAGTTAGCCCTCAAGGGAAGGCAGGGGCAGATCATGGGCATTCCCCGCCATCCAAGGAGGCTTCCATGCATGCAGAGCCGGCACATGGCGCTCTGGTTCTGGTCTCACCCAAGGAATCGTCACGTCCTGCACATGCCTGCTTAACCTCACAACCGTATCAGACCTTCCGCTCGACAGGGGCTGCGCCCTCTGGAAGTCAGCGGGGAGCAGCCCGTTGGTTTTGGACTTTTGTGACCACACAGATAGGTACATTAGCCCGACAGAATTTCACATCCTGAATCAGGCATATCGTTATCAGTTTTGTCCCAACACTCGGGCGAGTGGGGTCTTTGGGTGTGGACATTCGGCCTTTTTCAGTTCAGTGCAAATTTTGATGGTCAGATTTTGATCCGTATGATCTAGTTTTGTCGGACATTTAGGCTTAGCCATCCGATGGATGGTTGCTGTTGTGGTGTACCACAGCGCGGTGACGACGACACTGAGGGTTAACCTAGGATGTACGTGACTGGCCAGCCTATGGATGATTGCTGTTGTGGTGCACCTCAGCGCGGTGACGACGACACTGAGGGCCAACCGAGGATGCACAAGGATGGCCAGCCCATGTATGGTTGCTGTTGTGGTGCACCTCAGCGCGGTGACGACGACACTGAGAATTAACCGAGGATGAGCATTGAGCAATGTTCTCTTTACTCCGCAGTCTTTTAACCAAGGGTTGTAATTTTAGCTGTACTTTTGTCTAACCTACTCATGTTTTGATAAAATTTTTCACCCAAGAGTTTGGGGGCGGGCTGATGACATAAATCACCGCGCCACGTCAACGTAGTGCACGAACTCTTTAGCAGCGGCGAGGATCCTGAAATACTTTGATGAAGATGAAAACAAACTGTAGAAACTAGTAAAAACCATGAATGATGAATAGCCCAGGAGTTGAAAGGATATTGACAGTTGCAGATGATATTCTTGCAGGGCAGTGATAGCAACAGACATCCCAAGATCTGCAGGCAACTGTAGACAAAGTTACTGACTAGTGTGAGAGATAGCTACTGTCATCAACTAGGAAAAGGTGGCTGTTTTATGGTGCTCTCTGGACAATAGAATTATAAGAGCTAATGTCACAGTTAATGACAAAAAATCAACAGAGAAAGTAAACTGGAGTACCTGGCCATGATTTTCGATAGAAGCCTGTCCTCTGTAGAACCCATCCAAGGCAACCGTGTGTAGACTGGTCAGCCCTCAAAGGAAGGCAAGGGCAGATCAATGCTAAGAAGAAGAAGAATGGGGCCCCAGAACCCACACGGGGAGCTGCTATGCAATATCTTAAGAAGTATAGATGGTCGGTGCCATCTTGACCCTATCACCCTTCGGTAACCGATTGACATATATAGATACGAGCATTCGATTTTTTGCCCGAAGTATCCATGGCGTAAGAGGAGTCCTTTATAGTCCTCATATTTTCTACTATAGTCCTCGAAAGGGTGGCTGGCATGTTGTGTTATGGTTTACAGCCAGGCTGCGATATCTTTCGGTCCAACATATTCGATTTCAGTAAACCCATAATTTGTCGACTTTTACGATATGTTTTTTTTAGCAGGCATTGAATCTATATCACCCCACCTTATTTTTTCCGCCTTTGAAAAATCTTTGGCCGGAATCCACAGGCGAAGGACCAATAAAATCGGGGTGCGGGGGAATCGTTTTTAGATATAGACAGACTGTGCCTTTGTGTATGCCAAATTGGCCTAATAAGTTTGTAAACGACTGAGCAAGAATTAACTATACAAACTTATATTACTTCAACAATAACATTTGTTTCAAGATCACACAACTAATAAAATAACTGGCAGTATTATTTTTTTAGTAAAACTAAAATAGTATCTAGAATTTTATTTATACACGTTACTATTTAAATTTCGGCTTTTATTGCCGACGATAATTCTGTCGTAAATTCCCACTTCCGCCCCGACTCTCTTCCTTTTTCTAATACCAGCCATCATGGGTAGGTAGCAGGATGCTTGCGAATTTTGAAATCTAATGTCATCAACATGTTTAATTAATAGTTATATTATATTTTGTATGCCTAGTTAATCTTTTGAGGTTATTATTGTAAGAATCGCACAATATACAGCATATATTTTAGGTACGAGCATTGACGTCTGAATCCATGTTTAACACCGGACCCCTAGTGTAATCTGTGGTCGTAGTTCTAGAAATTGTGTAAAATTTTTGTGTAAGAGGGTTACACACATTGGTACTTTAGTTTGCAGAACCAGCAATTTGGCCGTAATAATGATATTTTGTTTATTTGTTGAGTTTATTTAATAACAAAAGATTCGACCTGTCGATATTCTAGAAAATGGTAGCAAAACAATGTCTTTGACTTTGCTGAATTTTAAATTTAGTAAAATATTAATGAAAGTTTAATATTATGACCAACCTTCACTGTGGTGACGATACTCGATTGATACGCTTAAACTGCATCTTAAATGTATGGGTACTGATATCACATGCCATGTGTTGCTTGTAACCCATTCATGGGTGTGTTAAATAACATTTAACAGTAGACATATGATGCTATACGCACACAATTTTATGTGGGCATTGTGATATCAGCATTACGCTTCTGCCTTTACTTATTACTCAGTAGACATAGTGTTAGGCGGTATCCATTTTATGTAACGGTGGCTGTATTGTCTTGTATTTTCTTGCCAGAATGTATCAGTTGTAACTTGTTGACAGGATAGATCAACCCTCCATGTGCATGAAACACTCAGCTAAAACGTTCTGCTGGAGTTCATATCTTGTTATTGCAAAGACTGGTCTGTCCTACAGACTCCAGTACTGGAAATAATAAAGTAATCTTGTAAAATAATGTCACGCAGGTATCTCAAGAGACAAATGGCACAAGCGCAGGGCCACTGGTGGCCGTATGGCAGTACTGAGGAAGAAGAGAAAGTACGAACTCGGACGCCCACCAGCACACACCAAGGTATGTATCACTTTTGTTGGGAAGACTCGTTTAACCTTAAGAAGTTTTTGATGTTGTCACATGTTTATTAGAAAGTTTGGCTATCCTCAGAATAAGTCTCAAATCGAGACCAAAAATGTAACCTAGCAGGGCCTCGATCACATGTAAATTGCCCACCACCGCCAAGAGTATCTGCTCCGCACGGAGCGGTGATTAACCTGATGGCTGGGACTCAGGGCAGCTGCGACATCTCCTGCAGAATCCTTTATTTGCTCCTTAGGACTAAGACAATTCAGCTTTACCCACTTGTAGTGATCACAGAAAATAAGTGCTAAATCTTTGCTTTAGCAAATGTACATGAAAATGTTTATACCATGGTAAAAAGCCATGATAATTTACTGTTTGTTTTACTGCCGCTGATGCTATCATTTCCAAAGCCATTAAAATTTTTTTTTAATTGCAGCTCGGAGCCAAAAGAATTCACACAGTGAGGACAATGGGTGGAAACAAGAAGTACAGGGCTCTTCGACAGGATCATGGCAACTTCTCTTGGGGCAGTGAAGGTAAGTTATTGTTGTCATAGGGAATTGTAAGCTGCATTTTGATGAAATGTGCAAATTTTAAACTGTACAGCGGGTTTGATTTTTTGGACAGTATATATTTTCCAATTGGTGTTGTTGCCTGTCTCAAAGGAACTTTCATATAATGTGAACAATTTCTGATAAAAATGTTCTTGTATGCCATAAATTTCTAGTTTCTCTGTCACTTCCCCCCCCCCTTTTGCCCTCTCACCATGTACCATGTTGCTGTTGTTTTGTCCTGTTTTCTTTCAAGAGCAAAGAATGTATATTGGCTGATTTTTACTAAAATCTGATCGTCCCCCTAACCCATTTTCTTTTGACACTGCCCTTGTGATTTATCATGAACCCTTTTTCATAGAGACACACAGTAAATGTATGTTTAGTATTGCTGTGGACACCATTTCATTTACTTGTGGCAGTTTTTTATAAGCTGTAAATGTTCAATTGAAACATCTGTTCGTGTTGCACCGCTCATGTATGTACTCAGTAGTTACCAGTTTTTAAAACTGCATAAAGCGGCACAGTGAGCTGTTTCTTCATTTCAAGGATGTCGACCAGTGGATTATTCATCAAAGAATGCAGGCAGCATATAACAAATGTCAAAGACAGCGAGCAGTAATAGACTGCAAAAATGTTACAGATTTGTATTTTCATATGTAAAACATTTTTCCTGCAGCGATCACTCGCAAGACACGTGTCATTGATGTGGTGTACAACCCGTCCAACAATGAGTTTGTGCGTACAAAGACACTGGTAAAGAGCTCCATCATACAGATTGACTCCACCCCATTCAGGCAGTGGTACGAGGCTCACTACGCCACACCCCTTGGACGCAAGAAGGGTGTCAAACTGGTCAGTGTTTAATGTTTCGGGCACATGTTTTGTAATTCTTTGTTAAAGTTGTGGTGTCATGTTGAGCACTGTGTCCTAGCCAGGCACTGCACACGCTTTTTTTGTTTAGGCTTGTGGAAATTTCTTTATGCCAAAAGAGTACGTTAAGGTGTTGATTGTTCCAGCTTATAGAAATTGGTAACAAGTGCACTAGACATTTTACAGTTGCCTGAAGGTGTTTTGTCATGTTGATTTGGAGTACTTTTTCTTTGAGTTATTAGGGATAGCATAGAGTATTGAAATAAATTTGGTTTCGAAAGGCACTTACTGTGGAGGATCTGGAAAATAATTAGGAAACAGCAAGAGTAAAATCGTTTTCTAATAGACATAAAACAGAAATCGAGGTTTTTTAGGGACCGCAAGACTTTATGGCTAAAATCCAATAAATTTCTGTAAACAAAATACTGTTTGAGCTTATGGTACATGGATTAGTCACCTAATCATATTTTGCTAAATATTCAGTGTATACGGTTGTTCCCTCTGACAACAAAAGTCAAAGGTAATTGTGTCTCTAATCTAAATGTTTGTGACCATTTACCGCATATTTAATACCTATTATGATGAACTTTTTTTTCTTCATGTTTTTTAACATGTTAATCTGTTTAGTATATGTAATATATAAAAGTATATGCTTCTAAGTAGATGTGGAATGATGAAGTGTTACAGCCCTTAAGGAAAATAAACTGTATTTTTCAGTTCTTTTTCTCCATTGAAGGAACATTTTGTCATAGTTACTCTGACCACATAACTCTAAGAGCTTCATTTCGAGTAAAACCTCTAACCAAATCTGTCAATGAAATATTTGAAATGTGAGAAACAACATAAGCATAATATCCCAACAGGCAAAATCATGGTCAGCTTACATCCCTGCACTAGTCTGCACATAACACGTCTCCAAACAATCATGTTGTAAAATGGGACTAGTAGTGTGGATCGGCGCAGGTAGCACAGCCTTGCTGTAAACTGATCTGTCATCCTGTCTTTGGTAGTAGAAAAACGTGCTGAAATATGTACACTGACGGGTTGTTTAAGCGCCTACTTTTTACATGTGGAAAATTATTTTGCACTAAACTCCAGTTAATGCATTTGGTTGTGATATGGGGGAACCACGTAAGTCGCTAGAAGACTCGCTTTCAAATTAAGCTGCGATTTGCTGCAGCCCACATCTGTTCAAAACCAGGCGGTTCCTGTGGCTCACTCAGCCTCTAGGAAATGGGTACTAAGGTAAACGCCGCTACAGAGCTTTGTGCGGACGTGCTGTCCGTACTGGTGTCAGAGCATTTATGGTTTATAATCGTGTGCAATGGCGCTGGTTCACATCTCCTGACTTTTACCTTTTTATCACACATTATGAAAATTTTTATTATATATGCCTGACTAAAACAACCCACTGTACTTTCAAATGAAAGCCCATTTAGGCTTGTAATGTCTTTTTCATTTTGTGGGCTTAAGTACACTACATATTTGTTAAAAAAAATTGTGTATTATAGATAATTATTTCCAATTGTGCTTACAATTTTTGTTACAATTTTCAGTCTGAGGAAGACGAGGCAGTGCTGAACAAAGTGCGTTCAAAAAAGACTCAGAAGAAATACGATGAGAGGAAGAAACAAGCCAAAGTGGAGCAAGCCTTGGAAGAACAGTTTGCCACTGGGAGAGTTCTTGGTGAGTCACAGGCAGAGCCATTTAACAGTTTATTTAGGAGAAAACATTTGGATCGTCCATGGTCAGAGCTCCTGGCATGGAAAGCAATCTGGCAGTAATCAGTTCTCATTCATGGGCCAGATCTGGTGTTTGCACTAGCTGTTTCATCAGCTGGAGTGCTATTATCCATACTTAAATAGTCTCTGTGTGTCAATCAGATAAGTTCTGTTCTGTATTGCTACTTTCTGAGTTAATACAGTTAATGTGATGTGGAATGATGAAGTTGTAAATCCTTAAGGAAAATAAACTGTATTTTGCAGTTCTTTTTCTCCATTGAAGGAACATTTTGTCATAGTTACTCTGACCACATCATGACATGATAGTAACTTTAACTTTTCTCATTTTTGTCCAGAAAATATTTTATATTGGCTTTTTTTAAAGTCAAAGAGGACACTACACAAACGAGGCAACATCTAGACCCACACAAAACAATGGCCACAGTCAACCTAGAAATAGGCTTGACGTCTTCCTCCGAAGTCGGAGTACATCTGCCGGAGAAGCGGGGAGCGAGAACTGCACACTAATAAGCCAGTAAAACGGATGTACACACAAAACTCAGGTCAAGGTAAAAGCCAAAAGTCCATTTTGGACGAACAACCGCGACTTACCGCCGGAATTCACAGCCGGTGAACAAGAAGAAGAGTATTGGCTTATTTAATTATATACAAGATGCAGAATTTTAAAACCAATAATACTGTATGTGCTACAGACATTGTTTGCAGGACATTGTCTGCAGGTTTGCCTCGTTGGCATTACAATAGAATCAAAGTATGTATGCAACAGTGAATAATGTGCACAGCACATGGGCCAGGTTAACTGTTCTGACAAGTCAGAAAATAGCCAAGAAAAAACCTGGATGCAATATGAACTCTGACCTTATGTGACACAAGACAAGCCACAATCACCAGTGAACCATGAAAAGTCAGTATTGCACCCACATAACCAGTTGACTGACGTCATTTTGTCACATAGAAAAATTGCAAATTCTTTGGTATACACACACAAATGACTTGCTTTTACAGTAACTAGCGGAGATGTTGCAATAATTTTTATATTTGTGCAGAAGTTCAAAAGCCAGGGGATATTGCCATCGTTACAAGCCCCTAATGATTATTTGTTGTTAGTCGGTAATCTTTCAGGGCCACAAAAGTAGTGTACGGTTAAATTGATGAAATAAATGTAAATTACAAAAATCTGTTCTAAACCATTCAGGTGCATTAGGCATTAAGGACTACACCTATATAATGTATTGCACCTAACCAGTTGATATAGCTCAACATCACATCGGCCACCTTTACCTACCAGGCAGTGACCTGGTGCAGTGATTAAAACTACTGTCGATGTAGTAATCCATGCTATTATTTTGTTATATTGAGTTTCAGCAAAGGCAAGTTTTTATTTTATTCTAAAGTGGAAGTGAACTTTTATAATCAGTACTGAATTTCATTTTTTCCTCTGTTTACAGCCAAGATCTCTTCTAGGCCAGGACAGTGTGGCCGAGTGGATGGTTACATCCTCGAAGGCAAGGAGTTGGAGTTCTATTCCAGGAAACTGAAGTCCAAGAAGGCTAAATAATTGAATTTATGAGGAAAATAAAGTTCATGTAAACAATATGCTGTTTTTGTTTAGATAGTTCTGTGAGTGAAAGATTTTTATGTGGCACGTGGATTTACTGTAAAGAGATTAAGAATTTAAGAGCAAACCCCTAAATTGCTTTATGAACAACTGAATAGAGATCCTGCATCAAGATAAGCTAAGGACTTCTTCCTGGAGAAATTACTAGAACTGAAGTCCACGTGTAAAACAGATCAGTAAAGTGATGGAATAGTGGAATATCATCAGTTGAGCCTCTCCTGATCATTAAATCGTTTTAGAAAGCACACGTATAAATTTCTCTGGCCACATTACTTTTCTTAATGGCATTTCCTCTATAGTCTACTTTCAGTAGAGGCAAAATAGCGAAGAGGAGCTCTTAGTTTTTCCTTGAGCCAGGACTCTGATAACTACCCGTTTTAAGCATTGTTGATCTTGTATATTGTTGGAAAGATTCATTGGGGGCTTGCATATTCCGTCTGCAATGCTTGCTGGACTACCTCTGGTTTTCTTCCATTTCAAGCAAAATAGCTTTATGTGGTGTAATTTTCTTCTTATTTATATCTGCAATGTTTTTTAGTATGAACTTTGTCTTTTGTAATTCGCTCAGCGACCTGTAAAGTTTGACATGCACCCATGTTTCTCTTGGCCAAAAGTTTTGCTTTGATATGTTGTGTGTTTGGGACAGTCTTGGAGGGTGTTTTAGGGTAAACACGGCAGGCGGCTGATTAAAAATGGTGTACATGTGGCTGTGACGTCGATTGTGTGGTGTAGAAAAACTTGTCTGGTCCATAAAATTTTGTGTTGGTTTTGGTGATTGATTTTGATTATTCTTTTGCAAAGAGATTAGAATGTGTGCCATTTGCACCTTCCTTAGCTAGTTAAGCTCTTTCATTTCCGGAAACTCAACAGTGGGATGGTATCCATTTGAATAGTTACTGCACACCGACTTTGAGTTTATGTTGCAGTCTTGACACATGTCCAAACCATTTGGTCTCTTGATGTAACAAAACATTATGCCAGGCAATACATTATTATAACGCAGTAGCAGGTTAACAAGACTTTGTCAGTGTGTTACGGAGTCCTGACGGGAAGCAAAGAACAGTAACAATACAAAACAAGTTCCAAGAGGTGAGGACAAGATGCTGGTGTTGGATATGACACACCTTTGGGAAACGAGTTCTGTGTAACTGCAATATCTTAGCACAAAAATCTACACGGGCATAGAAATAAAGACCCATCTAAGAGAAAAGTAAGTTGAAAAGAGGGGGAAGACAGAAGTGAAAGATCGAAACTGCTCTGTTGGAGCAGGAGGAGGAAAAAAATGTCTTGAGCTAGTTGGAACCTGACCGCAGAAAATGTTTTAAATGTTTTTAAAATGCAGAATGAAAGCAAGAAATCGATAATTACCAAACACGGGTGTTAGTTTTCCATGTCTGGGTGTATTGGGCAATCATGACCTATATTTCATAGACCTAATTGGGCGATGTGTTTGGCTGGGTCGAACTGAGAGCCAAGGTAATTTCTTATATAGTCCGGAACCCATGACCTTCCGATCCACTCGCAAGCGTCTAGCTTCTTCCTTCTATCTCTTGCCCCCTCCTTCCTGTCTCCTGCATTGTCTTTCCCTCTCCTACGATCTTCTTTGTTTCTTTCTTTCCTTTTACTCCCTCCTTACCTGTCTCAAGCCGCGCCCCCCCCCCCCCTTAAAAAAAAAAATAATTTGTTCTCTTGTTTACTAAATGTGCTGCTCCATAATTGTCTTTTCCTAGTAACTCCAAGTGTGGGGGTCAGCATGGCCTGGTGGATATTTTCTTTTCATGTGTTACATTTGCCTCTGTCCGTCTCCCTACCTGCTCCACTTTGTGTCCTACTTATCCCACACTCTTTGCCTATCTATCACTGTCTTCCTATCTGTATTTGCCGCTCTTCCTCGCCCCCCCCCCCTTTTTTTTTCTCTCCCCCTCTCCATAACTTTATTTTGCCTAGCAAGGTTATGTTTGCCCAGTGCAGAAAATCTCATGTCCAACAGCCCCCCCCCCCCCCACATATAAAATATATGTTGAATTTTAGAAACCCATTTGTCATAACCCTCCCCCTTTTCCTCCCCAAATTGATGACACCTGGGATGGCCCGCACCCCGTTCCTACTATCTTCTTTCCTCTATGTCTCATATTTCTTTTCTCCTTTCTTTCTCTCCCTGTCTTAGTCCCGACTTTCTTTCCTTAATCATATCCAGTCTATATTTGATTGTTTTTGTTTCCATAAAGATACAACAGAAAGAACAATAAAAGCAGACTGGGGAATAATGCACTATTGATGAAGTTCCAAATCTGTGCCCCGTGTAGCACTGAGACACTTTTTTTCAACTTCTGAATTAGAGATTAGCAGAGGTGTTAAAACATCTTTATAATTTGTAAGCTCCTAAAAACTCCCTTTTCTGGTGCTCCCATGTTAAGATCCTCATTGTGTGCTGCACTGTGCTGAGCTTCCTCAGACTTGTAGAAGAACGGAGCACTTACGGGTTACTACCCATGTGCCATGATGTTGATCTATTTTTCGAATCCTTGAAACCTCTGTCGTAACACGATCACTCTCCTACATATTTTTATTTTCAGTTTTTCCAATCCAAGATTGCAGTTGGTATGATTCACATCTCAAGGATGAGAAGCACACTGGTAAAGCTGCTGGAAACCTCGTTCAACAATATCAGGTTATACGTGTGTGGGGGGAAATGAGCAGGCAGATAGATGGGCGGTTCATTGAGTGGTGGCCCCTGAGCACATACTTCAGTACTGCCCTAACCTCTCCCAGCAAAGACTGTGGATCTGGCCCAAAGGAGCCACATTGCAAGAGAAGCTATGGGGGACCGGTGGAGACCTTAAACGCACAATCCTGTTTGTGACCGAGACGAGACTCAATGTTTAGCATGACTGATATCAAACGAAGAAGAAGTATTGAGTGGTGAACTGGCGTGTGATGAGCTAGATATTGTGAGAGCCCTTTGGCAGCGAGTAAACTATGTGGATGCACAAACAGATCATTAGGGTCTGAGAAGAATGGCGCTGCGGGGAGTTACCGGAGGATCTTACCGATGCTAAACACTCAAGGGAAAGGCGAGATGGATGTGGAGGCAGACAGTTACTAGTACCATCGGAATTTGAACTCTTTGCTTGCTGTTGAAGACGAGGATGCAGCGCTTATGGAAAGTGTCCCCAGTACTGTGATGTCGCTTTTTAATTCAACATTCACACTTATACTAGGTACCACGAAAAGATTACAGAGTAACCTGTAGCCCAGTATGGGTCGGTTTTGACAGGACCTACATCTTTCCGCCACATCAGTTTTGATTTATGATTCACAATAAAACGGACTATGTCTATCTACAGCTATCATTTAACTAACGTTTCTGTTTCTACTACCAGGAGACAGGTCGCATCCAAACCGTAACAAATTAACTAACTACAGACAAGTAAGAGTTAGACCTAGAAATAGCTAGAAACAAACTTATTCAAAACAACAACAGCTCCTGTTTCAAGCATTAGAGGTTCGTCTATTGTCCATCAAGACACTATAGGGAGTTTCAATGTCAGGGGGTATTTTGTAGAAAACTCAATACCCTTTACCCATGGCCAAATCGGATTTCTTTCTGGTTTCAGTATGTGTTTTAATTTAAAAGAACTGTTGCAATGCAAGGCTGAAGCTAATGTCATTCGGTAAATAATCGGCTATCTTTAGAATAACGGTCCCAAATTATAGAGGCCGAAAATATACCCTGCTGGGCCTCAATCACATGTCAATTGCGGACTTCCAGTAAATACCTCGACCGCCGAGACTAAACTAGATGGCTGGGACTCCCGAGCATCAGCTACCGCATCTCCTGCAGCTTCCTTCATTTTATTTGCTCGTGAGTCCCAGCCATCTAGTTTAGCCCCGCTCCAGACCGCGTGTAGCGGCGTGGGAGATACCTTCGGCGGTGGCGGTAGTCGTCGGAAGTTCGCAATTGACATGTCACTGAGGTCCTGTTAGGGTATATTTTCGACCTCGATAATTTGGGACCGTCATTCGGATGATAGCCCAATAATCAATATCATATTTCGTTTCACTGTAAAGTATCCGATATTTTAATTCTTGGAAGGGACCACTAGACTAGGGCAGGACTTCCAATGATGGATTTTTTTAATCACCAGATCTGTTTTTTTTTTTTTTTACATTTTGAGTTTAAAATTTGAAAACTGGAGTTTAAATACATCCTTATATAAAAGAGGGTAAATGTTTCGTTTCGTAACTTTAAAATTTGTACTTTTTAACAATCTAGGTTTTTTTTTGTTCTTTGCTAATGTATTGCTTGGGTTTTTGTTTAGCTTAGCTGGGTTTTTCAAAACAATCCATATGGCATTCCTGTCACTAGGGCTGGTTTTTTTTTAGGGTAAGAGGTAAAAGACGGGAGATGTGAACCAGCGTCCACTGCGCGCGGTTATGGACCATAAGTGCTCTGTGTCGCCGTCCGCACGAAACCCCGTAGCTACAGCGAAGTTCCTCCATTTACACTAGAGTGTTAACTCTGGTACCCATTTCCTAGAGGCTGGGTGAACCCCGGGTAAACTCTGTCTTTGGCAACCTTTGTGAGGGCTTTAAATAGGACGTAGGTGTCTTCTATCTGCAGAGTTCGACGATAGCACCGGGCGGCACTCCGCCGGGGCCTGTCAAGGCAATGGTCAGTCAGGAATGTGAAGCTTTAGAGGTGGCTCCTAGGCCAAGCACGGTCACAGTAACTGTAGATGGGTGATGCGTCTTGATACTAAAGAAGCTGGTTAGCAGGTCCCAATATACGGTGGTCATCTTTGTCGACTCCTGGAGTAGATTAGGGTATCTCGTTGACTGCAAAAGGTGACTGTTACTGGTTACATAACCACTGTAATAGGGTTGTGTTGTGATCAATACTGCCCACAAACACAGACACATGGGAAAAAAACATAAAT